CTATATATTAAACTTTGCTAATAAACTTGGTCAAGCCAGCTTAAAAAAAAAAAAAAAAAATAGTATAATATAATATATAACTTCAAATTGTAATAAAGATCTTTAGATTTATAACATAATAATAGTGCTTCCAGATTACAAATACAAAGTCTAGAGTTCAATATCATATGAGAACTAAATAAAAATATCACATTGCTATGAATTTAATATTCTATTAAGTAATAATAAATGTTATTGGGCATAGATCAAGTTATTTTACTAATAATTAAAATGAAAGAATTTGCTACTATATAATATTACCTGTAGCTAATGATAGGTTCTTAAAGTATTTAATATATAAAATTTTACAGATTACATATGTTTCTTTTTGAGAAACAAAATTCATAGCTCATTATTTTAATAAAAACAAAAGTCAGAAAATATTATAAATTAATGATTTGAATAATAGAGAACAATTGTAGATAGTTTTTTTATAGTTATTAATTTAAAAATTTTAATGTTTCCTAGTAAAGGACATTTGACTTTTGTTCCTGTCTCCCCTTTTAGGAACTCTTTTTTACCTGTAGCTGATATTTACCAGATTAGGCTGGTCTACAGGTGTTGTAAAATAATTAATATCTTTTCAATATCTTGATAAGATAGAAGTGATCAGAACTGATCTTATGATCAACTAGAATGAAGACTGAATTGATACCAAATATCCTAATGATCTTATTGACTGCAAGAAGTTGCTACAAGTCAGGAAGATTGAAGTTCTGAAGAGAGTAAAAATTGTACTGATGGGATACTTAAAAGTATAACTAGTTGTCATGACTTATCATTGGGAGACCTTGGTGAAAAGAAGAATTTGTGGATTATATCAAAGTATCAAATATAGGGATAGGTTAAAGTAAATACAACAGTTTAATAACTAGATTACTTTATAAAATTGTTTTAGAAAAAATTAAAAGTGCATCATGTGGTTTTCCTTAATGGGCTAGTTAGCATATATAGTAGGTAATATATTTACCATATATAAAATCATTACATATACAATATTATTTCTAAGTAAATAAAAATCACAGATTAAGGAATAGATATTATGCTTTTGATTGATAAGGCTCTCAAAGAGTATTTAGCTAATAGTATAGAAGTGGTAGTAATAGCATGATCTCAAATATTGACTTTATAATAAATTATCATTTTTTTTCTTTTACCAAATCCTTTCAAGATATGAATAGAATCCTCTTCCCTATTGTTCCTTATATAGATATTGTTTTTAATTATTTCTCCTAACAGTAGACAATTTTTCAAGAAGATTAGTATATGAATATATATCTTCCATATTGGATTAAAATAGACAAATTAGTTCCGATACATACTGTATATCATCAATTCCTCCTTAAAATTTTTTTATTGTTCTAATGGTCACTTCATTAGGTTTCTGTTTAGAGATGGCTCAGCCATGAGATAGTTTCTTAACTTATTATTAGATTACTAGCTTATAATTGTTTTCTTCTGGTTAAATGTACCTATATAATAAAACTTTGCTAATAAACTTGGCCAAGTCAGTTTAAAAAAAAAAAAGAATTGTAATACAATATAAGAATAATAGTATAATATTATATGCAGTCCTGAATTATACTAAAACAACATGAATAATTTTATTTACGATATACCAAGTAATTTTGCAAATTTCTGGAACCGGTGGACTCGGAAAATTGCCATGAAAATATTTTCTAGCTAGGAGAATTATTCAAGAATCCTTTCTCGATTAGTGAATGCCTAATAAACGAGTATAAAACAGCTGTATGGGGTACCGGGATAAGAAATATATCACCTGCTTACATAAGTCTGCTTTTTTTATCGCATATTCTCTGCTCATCCAAATATATCTGGCCTCTCTTATGAAACAGTAAATTGAGAGGTAATGCTGGGATCCCTGGTATTCGAATGCAAGACGCAATTCCTCATTATACCCAACAAGATGCATCCCATCCAAAAAATTAGACCTACATGATGGAAAGTTCTTACCTAGCAGATCCTCAAAAATATATTGGCATCGGCGTTCACCGCTAGTATGATGGCATAGAGGACACCACTCGAATTTTTTCACGATATATTTTAGTGAATATTCCCGTCGATGCGCATCATTCTCACAGGACCAAAGATACACATTATTTCCATTTATTCGCCCAGTTTTTCCAAGGCATTGACCACCAGGTTTTTCAACATATCGATTGGCTTCGGTTAAATTATCATTAGCAACTTGAACATAATGGGCGAATTTGGTAGGATGGTATTTTCGCATAAATCCATAGGGTGGACACTCGATTTTATCGGGTTCATCAATTACTTGAAGCTCCTCATATTTAAACGGTTCTGTCCCATCAAATGAGCAGTTTATTCAATGAGTTCATCGAGATAATATAAGACCGGTCGTGGTGGATTCCTTCCAATAACGATTCTTTTGATCTTATAAACACGTAACGACCAGTATGGATCAGTTGCCCGATGCCTGTGATCACCTTCCAGCTCGCCAGGTTTCAATAGATATCTAACCTCTGTCCCTTTTTTAACTTTGTCTTTTCATATCGCCCAATTGCCCGCTTAGCTTTACTAGAGGGTTTTGATTCAACTTCATCCAAAGTCATAGCACGAGTTGGTGACATCCCGATAAGACGAGTCCTGCTATTATTCATAAAATCGAAGCATTTTATTCCAGAGCCTTGAAAGTTCTCCTTCAGCTAATCGCCCTTCTATAGCGGATTGGACCTTATACTGTATATTAGTTTTGCTAAATTTTTCTTGAATGCTTTAATAAAAGCTAAGCTCTCCAAACTATAAAGATCGACAATGACATTGTACTGTTGCATCCCTCGTAAAAATGCGCCTCGGAACGAAGCATTACCATCAGTCATTAACAATGTTGGCCATGTGAGAGGATTAGAAGGATCCTCATATTTCTTTAATTCGATCCAGATTTCCAAACAATTTTCGATGTTAATGAACGCCCAGCCTTAAAACGTGCTGCTACATCTATGACTAGCAAACTACAAACGAATACCCTTCTACCATCCCGATCATCACGAATATGAAGCAGAATATCACACTAGTTGACCTTATTTGGAAATTTTATTTTTGAGAAAATCACCTTACATGGTAATAGATCTGGTTACTATATTGATGTTTTTAACCATTTTGTAATATCCTGTAATATCCTTCTTCCTGACATGATCTATGTATTTTTTTTTGCATTGGGATGGAAGTCTACAAACTATACGGAGTTATTCACCGGGATCTATCATAATTTGGAGTTGACTCATTCTTGAGGCAAGATTATTACGATGGTACTATAAATTAGGATGAAATACCATGTTTGATCCGACATATTCAGAGCTTTTAGATACGAATCAGGAGCTTCATGGTGAGCTTCAGGATGAAATTTTCATTAATAAAAGCAATGAGAACAAAATTCGCTCTCTTGTAAAGGAGCTTAAGCAATGTTATCGAACTATCTGATTACAGAATAATACTATCATAGCTCACGAAAAAGATATAGAGAAACTTAAATCAGAAATATATAATTTACGAAAACAGCTTTGGGTTTTACAACAGGATAAAAAATTCAAAGATGAGGTTGGGTTTGTTCAAGATGGGCGAATAATAGAGCTTGAAAATAAGGTTGGGAGTCTTAAAGCAAGAATCCAGCTTCTTTAGATAAAAAATTCTCAATAAATGCTTCAAATATGGCAATGACTAATCTTATCGCAAATGTTAATAGAGGAATAGATCGAATTGAAAATCACATTAGGGGAGTTGGTACGTCTATGCAGAATCCCACCATTATTATGGATGGTATCAGTGGCCCGTTAAATACTATTCGGTTACTTTGCAAAACATTACAGCTGAGCGTGATCAATATCAGAACTTACTACATGATTCAATTCAGCGAGTAGATAATCTTAGGAACCAGTTTACTGATCGTGGAAATCAGAATTTGAAAGAACTGTAAGAGAAAAAGACTGCTCAAGGAGAGCGAGATATGATTATTCTGGTTTGTACCAATGAGAAAAAAGAATCCTGCCGTTGGTATTTCTCATATCGGGATAAATATAGGCGTGTCAAAGAATTATTGCGAGAAAAATTTGCTAAACAGCTATTGTATAAGCGAAATGTCATTCATCTTCAGCAAAATACCCGACAGTTGCAGACTAATGCTCAAAACCAAGTAAATAGAAAGTTAATCATTATAGCGAGAAAACAAACCCACACTGGCGATTGCTACGTGAAAAGTTTGTTTTCCAGTTAGTGATTAGGCAAAGAGACCAGAATATTTTAAATTTTCAGAGACAAATTTTGGCGCTTCAGGCTAATCCATTAGGAAATATGGCTGATGCTAGACATTTACCAGTATTAAAATTAGTAACTTCAGCTCTTGCAGGTATTCCTTCTTATACTGGCCAAGAACCTCCAGATAAATATACTGATGCAGTCATTCAATCATGGGCATTTGCTGAAGGACTTATGACAGCTCTTGAAAATGCAAATGCTGGAGATTTTGATAATGTAGTAAAGTGTACTTATTAAAATCTAAGATGGATGAAAAATATTCTTCAGTACCTGCGAATAATGGGCTAATAGCAGGAAATCCAGCTATAAATACTCCAGATACATTATGGGCTTGGTTAAAAGCAAAATATCAGCTTGGAAATCAACATTCAGCTATTTGGAGATTGACTCAAGAAAAATCACAACCTTATGACATCCCAGATACTTATAAGACTAGAATTCGTCCTCTCCTACTAGGTGTGGCAGATAATGATGCGCAGGTTTGAGGATTTCTTAAAAGTCAATTATCAGGTGATCTATACACTTGGATGAGAATTGCAAATCCAGCGGGTATTGATGCATTTTTTACTGAATTGAAAAATTTGTGGTTGGAGCGTCTTTTCGATTTAAATGGGGGACAAACTTCTCTGAATAATTTATCAGCTGAGATTGAAAAGTTAAATTCCCAAATGGCCTCTCTACAGGCGCAACTAGTACAACCGGCTCAAGTGCATCCCCAGAATAATGAAGCCTCCGCTGATTTTGAAAAGTTAAACACCAAAATAGCTTCTTTGGAAGCACAGTTAGCGGAATCAATGCAAGCGTATTCTAAACTTGCGCAACACTTACAGCTACCTAAAAAATGTAATCAAGAATTAGAAAAAAGATTAGGAGTAATCGAATTAATTTAGCCAAACTCACAAAACTCAAAAGAGAAGATACCATGGATACAAAACCAGCTCAGTATCGGTATTCAGAACCCTCAGACTATAATAATGGAGGATTGAAATCGCTATCATAACAGAGGATATTGTATTACGCATAGGAGCTAATATTGATAAATCCATAAAGCATGACCTAAGTGGCATTGCTACTGTGTCAGTTGAGTCCATTGGAGTTTTACCGATAACCCTGGCTCTTGGATTTACGATATATGAAGATTTTATATTCGTAAAATACTCTAAGCCAATGCTGATATTTTCGAACCCTCTTCTTAAGAAATATAAATGCATAATTGATTGGAACCAAGATGGGTTGAAGATTTCCCATGACGGCAGGAATTTGATTATTCCCATTACCATGATAAAGTTAAGAACAAGCTCGAAGTGAATTGCGCGACGACTACCCCCGAATGTTATGCGTCCTCGATCCCGGACTGTATTTCGCAGGATTTAAGCGAAGATGGCGCATAAAAAAAAAAAAAAAGAGTTATGAGGAGCTTGAAATAATGTTATATAACACTCTCAAGTATAATGTAGAAATCAAAGTTTTTTCTATTATATGGTATATATTTGCTTTATTTTTTTTTTTTTTAATACCTTTCAACTACATTCTCATATGATGCAACTACTTCCCCATTGTTTATATCTAAAGTTTTAAATTCACCGGGATTAGATGAATCTGAATAGTAGATAGTGACTTGGACTTCGATTTCTTCTCTCCAGTCTTTTTGCCTTACCATCTCCTTCCAAAACCAAATCAGTAGATTTGTTAGATTCTACCTTATCATTACGTATTACATTTTCCAACTCTGTAACGGGAGAAATGTCTTGGTTTTGGATCTCTGGTTCAGTCTGTCTACCCACAGTATGATAGTAGAAAGCGAAGCTGTTGGCATATGGATTGATTGATCCCATGTAACCCTATTCTTTTCCTCGCCTCTCCAGATCTGATAAACACGTTTTTGTGATGTGCTATATTTTTCTTTTAGTTCATATAAAACTTTAGACCTTGGCCTCTCATCACGGCGTTGCATAATAAAATCGTAATTGGCTGGTGAAAAAGGAGGGGCAATATATTTTATAGCTAATATAATACTCCGAAATAATTTATTAAATAGAATGTATTATTCCGAATATATAGGATATTTGGATATTTGGGTAATTATTTTTGAAAGCGGACTGGAAATTTTCTGGCACCAAAATTGTGATCCTAAAATTTATTTTTGTGTATTGTTTAAAAGTAGGGTCTGAAAAATAATATCTAGCATTTTTGTTGCCTTCAAAAATAATTGCCCATTTAGGAAGAATATTCCGGATATAGGATATACTGGATAAATAGGATATTTAGAAAGAATGTATTATTCTGAATATACAGGATGAGTATATTATCTCGGAAATATATTCGTGCATCTTTTTTTTTTAATATGTAAGCATGCTAATATTATTTCAAATGTGCGTACTGTACATTTAAATATATAGAAGATAGAGAGAGTGGTTCTTATAAAAAACCCGGACATCGGCTGGGTAGTGCATATGAGCAAGAGCTCGAAAAAAAATTAAGATCCGTTATCGAATTTAACTCTGAGATCAATGATTTAGCGAAAAGCTGGTCGATAAGTACAATAAGCGAGAAAAGGAGTTTGAAAATAAAGCTAGCCAGTTAAATGCGTTCAGTATTAGACTTAGATTCTGTCTTCAGGGCGATTATAGTTGATAGATGAAAATAGAGACCAGTTAGCATTAAAGAAAGAGCCAAGAGGTGCTTCGCATAATGAAGTATATCTTCTACTCGCCTATGATAATTCATCGCAACTTCCCACTCTTGACTCGACAATATCTATTGGTGGCGCTGAAGCGGTATCTTTACCATCAACTGCTCCTATCATTGCGACTTCCTTAATATCGCCGATGGTAGCATATTCTATACTTACCCTGGTACTTATTGCGATTATATGGTTTATGATTGCGAAGCAATGGGATTGAATCTTTTCTTGGTGTGAGCCAATAGCTTTTCTGGTAAATCTTCGGGTGGATTTATTAAAAACCTTTTTAGCTGTACATGCTAATAACCAGCCAATACCCATTACCATTATACCCATGATGTTGGTCATTCATTGCGATATCCCCCATCCCTTCCTGATCTGCTATTATTTTACGAAAAATCTGTCTATCCTCCTGTGATCGGGAGATGAATTTCGTTATATTCAAAGCCTATGTACCGGGAAACCTGGTCATATAGTATACCAATAAAGCTTATGCTTAAAATATTTAGATTTTTTCGGCTGATCGTTGACCTAGTTAACGGTTTTGGGCGACAGGCCACGCTGAAATTTCCGAGACATTATGTCCCGGAAAAATACTAATGATTATCCCAAATCATCTCCGGGCATATCCGAGGTCGAGATGAGACTGAGCCAATTTTTTTTTGGTATTGACATATGCTCTTTATAACGCATATGATAGATCAATTTGTGGACGAATAAATCATACTCCTCCATACACTTCACAAGTTTATTAGGATATCGCAATATTTTTTTCTTCATTTCTTTATCTACCGAAAAGTTTTTATCTTTTGAAATTTTCCTAGCACCCCATAAATCTCACCCGTAATATCTCTACGGGATTGCTTGTCATGAAAATCCCATAGTTGAGCCAACTACCATAAAATATTTCGTATAAACTGCCTATCTATTTATCGCGAAAGCATTTTTCGCCCTATTTTTACCGCACTCTCGTATATGCGCTTATAAGCCTTCCCACGAGATTTCATCATCTCGGAAGTAATACCATTTACTATAATATTATCTTCCACGAAACCCTCGAGTCACGACTTGGCTTTCTTTTGAGCATAATCATCAATCTGTTTATATTTCTCATCTAGATCCTAGGGTCGGCTCATGTCTTTTATCATACGTACATGATAAATCGGGTACAGAGATCAATGACAGTTTTTCCGAAATAGTGATGTAGATCAAACTCCTTTCAGCGAACTCCATTTTCTCACCTTTCGGTGGGTACCATGTAAATCAAAAGTTGTCTCGGGGTGAGTTACTAAATAACTAAAGCGCCCGCCTGGCACTGAAATCTTATTTTCATATTTCCCTTTCATTCTTCCTACAAAGCGCTGGACAGCCTTGTTATCCACATCGGGTTCCATGCATCGGTCTCTATAAATTATTCGAAATTCCATTGTTTGGGATTAATTAAAGCATCACTGAGGACATCAACAATCTCATGGAGTGAATGGACATTATTAATATCCATAGCCCTCAACATGATCCGTTCCCCTATAGTTCTGAAAACTTGGGATTTACAGAATCGATTCCCTTATAACGGGTTCGAAGTTAGGGATCTCTTCATGGTAGTGCCAAAGTATTTTTTCTCCTCAGTGAATGCTACCGGGAATAGTACTTCTTAATAAGCCATTTTGAGATAATTCGATCTGATCTTGAGCCTGAGGAACGTATTCGCAACTTCTCCATCACTCCCATAGTAATTTTGACCATCTCAGCCCAATATTCTAGTTTTGAAATTGTGCCTTCTCCGTCAATGTAAGCCAGGTCGCATTTCTCATAACAAGAGTCTGGACAAGTGAGATATAGGGAATCGGTATCACCACATTTTAACCCAGAGCCTTTCCTTCTGACGTACTCAGCAACACGCTTGATATTTTCTCGTCCAGTTGAGGTAACACCCTCGGCAAGTTCGAGTTTATATAATAGGGAGCCACTTTGACCTGTTACACCATAGAATGAATTCATAAACGTTTTAACTGCTTTCTGCTTCGAATTCAAATAAGTATAGGCGAAGCAGACTGAACTGTATTCTTTTCTGAAATCATCATAGGACGAATTAATGAATGGACTTAGGATTTCAGCCACTTCTGCGTCTTCGTATCTTTTGTCGAAGATAGAACATCCTTAATTATGTTCGCCATTGGGGTAGCTTCGTTAGTAAACTCTATTTTACCTTTAACTAACCCATATATTCCTTTTTTCTTTTCAAGAAGTTCTAGTTCGATCTTCATCCTATTTCGCATATTTCCAATATTTTGGAAAAAGACCTTTCTGATCAGATTTATTTCCATGTCGTATAGCCCAGGCTCGCAAAGGAGCACCATTATATTTGAACTCGAATTGTGGGGAACTTTATTCTCTCTTTCCAGCTCGTCTGCCTCCAGAGGGGTTGAAACCATCTTTTCGGGCGAGAGATTGTAAGACATAATTATAAGGAAGCGAAGTCCAACCTGCGACAGGTCGTTTATTTTCAAGACCTTTCTCCGGCGGGAATACATATGCACCCGGAAACTTCCCAAATGCTTTCTTGTTGGAAGTTTTCATGGTAAATAGAATGTCCTCCGCCCACGCTTCAGCGCCTGAGAGATTGGATACTTTCGTTCCTATGGCATAATAATGTGTATGTATCGAATAATGATATATACGTAAGCGATTAAAGCAACTTCTCTGTAATCATTTATTATATTATGTTTGACCGTGGGTTTCTAACAACGTAAGGCGTCTATGATGCAATAATTTGCTATTTCGTGCATATTTTTAGTGGAAGAATCTGAAATCCTATCCGTCGCTTCTGAATAGTACTTCCATAATTTGCTCATGAACAAATCGGCTTTGCTGTCGAGACCACATTCTTCTAAGAATTATTTGAGTGATCTTTTCTCCGAGCGGGGGAAAAGTTGCAACAAACTCGCACAAGCGTCAATTAGTACACATCCAGGAAGCTTAAGAAAGGATTATTCGAAGCTCAAATTATTGGAACTGAATTTGATATTAATAGATTCACCACGACCTTCTGTTCCTTCGCCCATTGGTCCCTATGGAAGTAACCATTGCTTAGTGGCTTTCCAGTTCCACCGAAATAATTCCAAGTGAAGATGGATTGAGTATTGACTTTGACTTTCTTATGCGGATTTGTCGACATTTGCTGGACCATCCAGTCGAGAACCTTTAATTTGGTGGCCTTTTCTACAATGAAGGGCCAATCATAGCCGGAGTCATTAAGGCCAAGCTGGATGTCTGGAGTAAAAGATTTCAGCATAAAGCGAAAGCTTTTATTAAATTGGGTTGGTTCCCACATATAATGGTTGTCCAGAGTGGATCTGGTGCCGTCTCAACATCGACGAGGCATATCTGTTCTAGTGGTTTTGGGTCGTCTTTCCAGTGTAGGGTCATACAGATCATGAAAACTTGAGCTGTATCATTTTCTGCTTGTGGAAAATTACCTAATCCACGTGAGTCGGACGTTTCTATATCCCATGTTAGAACCAATGCTCGGTCACGAGTAAAGAGAGAAGATGATTAGATTTTGTAGTATGATTCGAAATTGCCTCGGGGCGAAGTTTTTAATATGGACATAAAACGCATGCGGACAAAGATGTGATTTCGTATGATATGGTGCTCCAAAATTATATTTGTAGTCTCTTATTAATACCCATCCGGAAAGTGGTATTCTATTCTATACTCCCTTGCAACTTTACGATAATACAGTATGTGCCCGTGTCATCTGAAGCGGTTTCTATTCTATTTTCTTGATCTGCCTCCGAGTTATATCTTGAGAGAATATCGAGAGCGGTAAACCTTAGGTCTTTATTGGGTGTGGTGATGCGAAGATACGACTTTTTTTCCGCATGATAACCACATATAGAATATGTCTTTGTAAATTCCATCCGGATTAGTTTCATGTTTATAGTGTCTCCATTATTATCTTTCCCGGTAGTAAGTATACCCTTTATTTTGGACCAAAATTTAGGAATACTTGCATTTTCAAGAACACGGATGTCGAAAAAACCTTAATACCAGTAATAGTTACAATTGCTTTTTGACCATTTAGTAAGATGTTAATAGAGGCGAAGAATATAATGAGGGGTCCCATAGATATACTCTTTGGATTCTTCTATGTCGTCCGACACGAATGAGATATCTCAATGATTTGCTATCTCATCTTCAAGAATTGAAGTCGATCCCTCGTCGTTTCCCATTGCTAATTTATCACGGGTTGAGATGCCTATCAAGTAATTAGTACCGGAATAGCGAATTACCTGGCCTCCAATTTTATCTTTTTTCGGCCTCTGGGTGAAAAAGGGCGGGGGCATCCAAGAAGTCTAAAAGCTCGGATTGGGTCATTTTTTCTCAAGCAATTTATACTGTGGTTATACCAAAACTCGAGGTATATTATTCGCAAGAAAAAAGTTTAAAATGAAAATAATTCCCCGACATTATTAATTGATACATACAAATGGGAGGCGAAAAGAAGGTGACACACTGGAATTTTTATAATTGTCCATATATTCTTAGGACCGGAGAAGTGTGCAATCGGAGAAACTATGATCCAAAGGGATGTAAAGTCCATCGGAATTTTAGGCAAGTTCTTTGCAAAGAATGCGGTGAGCCGACAAGATCCAAATATGAATATTGCGATGATCATGCAAAAAAAAAAAAAAAACAGAGATCAAGAGAACACTACCAACGGAAAAAGCTTGCAAAAATCGAGAATATATCCCGTTCTAGAAAATCCGTCCTAGTTGTCCTAGTAAATTTCGGATTTCTTTACTTTTTTTACTCATAGATATTCCGGTATATAGCATACATACTGTATATCATAGGAAAATTGTCTAAACCAAATTAGGATTGGATTGGATAAACTGGTAAAACCCAAATATTATGTATTTAACTAGATCTGTGGCAAAATTTAAATTCCTACATGATTACGATTGCAAAATGATTTTTGGATTGTGGGAATCTGATAAAAAATGCTTATTTATTGGAAAAACAGTTTATTGCTTAATTGAGTCTAGAGAAAGTTACGTAGAGATTTAAGAGATAAATATAAACCAATCGTGTAGAACTGTTTCCACCTAGTGAAACATTACTATTGCAAATAACACTATAAACTGATTTGATTTTGATGGTCTTGAGGTTAATCATGCTATAAATTGGTAAATGGAAAACACACATAATGACGAGAAGCAAATAACATTGACCGAACAAGCGACCTCATCTGATGGGAGATGTAGAACTGTTCCACCTTGTGAAACATCACGAATGCAACCAACACTATAAATAATTCGATTTTGATGGTCTTGAAGTTAGTCATAATATAAATTGGTAAATGGAAATTACACATAACGACAAGAAACAAATAACATCGACCAAACAAACAACCTCATCTGATTTCCGGTATGTCGATGGGAGAAGGTACCATAATGTTGAAGGTTCAAAATACTTTCTTCCAAACGATGAGGAGGAATTTGATCGGCTGAATTTGCAACATTCCTTGACAAGATATCTTTTCCAAGGCAATTTTTCCGCTCCTGTTGAACGTATCCTAAATAGAAAAGGTACAAAGGTGCTTGACTCTGGGTAAGATAGATAACCGCAATTGCATTTCTAAATAATAAAATGAAGATAAAAAAATGTAATCAATCCGTATTATCGGAAGTTGCGGTGCAGGTTCTTGGTTATTTGAGATGGCAACAGATTACCCGAATGCCGAAATTACGGGAATAGATATAACACCCGTTCGACCTGATCATGTTAAACCTGCAAATGCCAAATATGTCTACGCGAATATTTTCACCGGGCTGCCGTTCGAGGATAATACTTTTGATTACGTGTTTCAACGTTTTATGACCGCCTCAATTCCCGTTGATAAATGGCCAGATACTATTAAGGAGTTAACTAGAGTTCTGAAACCTGGTGGTTATTTGGAGGTATTTACGGCATCTTTAATTCCGAAATTTTAAATAATCTCAATGATTCACGTGTTCATCTGTAATATGCCCCTTAAGTTAACAGAAGCTGGCTTGGCTTTCAAGACGGGTCCTATTTTAACAAAACTCTTTGATGCATGTAAGTTATCGCGCATAATTTCTAAGATTAGAGTGATGTCTACAAATGTTAATCAATATGCGTGCGTAAAGTTACAGAATTATTTGAAAAACAGGATTTTTATATAAAAAGAGTTTACAAGCTAAGATCGTTGGTTGAGCAAGGCGGTCAATTCGAGGAAATAAGTGAAGAAAAAAATATGTTTCCCTATGGCACCGAATATGGAAAACTATCTAAAATGGTGACGAGCTTGATTTTGAAATTTGCATTTTCTGATATTCCGATAATCTCACGTCGCTTATCTTTCTGACTTGAAATCATAGGCTTTTGCTAATATGAAGATTGTATTTAGCACTCTAAAAACCTCTATGATGCCGATCTTAGGGGTAACCTCCGAAGAATATGATAAAATGATGAATTCGTTGGCAACAGAATTAGAAGATTATGGCAGTTATCAAGACTTGATTCGCATCTATGCGCGTAAAAGGAAAAACATTTAATCCTGCATAATAAACAGCGCATGCGACAAAAATTTAAGCCATTTTCCAATTGCCTCGAAACAATATTTTTTAGTATTTATAAAAAAACTCAACCCTTCGTGTAAACTCGAAACAGTAGTTATATTGTTCTCTCGAGAAATCCTGTCGGCCATTGGTTTTGCGACAAGGATGGTTCTTAAATTGTTTTCTTATTACCTTTTCTAAAAATCTTATGAAAAAATCCGCGACATTTTTGGATTTTACCGCATATATTGTACTCGGTAACAATTTTTTCTCGTGTTATGAAATAAAAAGTTTAACCATCCAATGAAACGTGATTGAATACTATTTGTTCCATTTGCAAAAAAAAAAAAGAGTTTTTAAATTTTTTAAAATTTTTGGTAACTTTAAACAAACTTTATTTTTGTTAGACGTTTTATACAAAAGTTTACCACACTCTATATTGGTTTACTCTTTTTTGTGAATTTTTTTTTTTTTTGCAAATGAATTTTTTTTTTTTTTTTTTTTTTTTTTTTTTTTTTTTTTGAAAATATATTACCTCTTGGCCGGTATCATTGAATTCGAGTGCTTTAAATATACTGTATAATAAATAGTTTGTCGAACAGTTATAGGTTTTTTTTATTGTCTAATGTTAGAACTGGCTCCTAAAATCATTAAATATCAATTGTATACTGTATATTTCAAACAATAGTAAAAAGAAAGAAAGAAAGAAAGGGAAAGGAAAAGTTCAATTAAACAAAGTTCCTTGAAAAAACATTAAGTAAAAAGAATTTTTTTTTTTAGGAAATTTTAATTACCCTTTAAATCTAATCAATATTCGTAAGGCAAAGATAGTTAACGCATATAATTGTGTTAGATAATATTGAGTTCGAAATACCGAATATCCAAATAAAATTTACACGTAAAAATTAAAGACCGAATAAAATTTACATGTAAAAAATAAATTGCTATCATTTTTTGTTCAAGTTATTGCTATTGAGCTCCTTTAAAAAAAAAAAAGATGTGGTTCAACTGAGCACTGTCTCGTCAAACGTGACCTTTTTATCTTTATACTATAGTAGAAATGAGAATGTTTATTACACACACCTTACCCGATATATGTACTGTAAAGTATCACTGCATTTATTCTACAATGCATTGCATACATGCGTACGAGCATTATCCTATGTGAAGTAGTTTCCGATTCTGGTTTGTGTTGACGCTTGCAAATCGGAATTAAATATCCGGCCACATATATATATGCGATACGCGCGCACATACAAAACTCAAGAGGTTTTATCCTATCCTGAGTCTCACACCGAAAAATGGCAGCAGAAGTAGAAGAATACGAGAATTTGGATGAGGATGCTCAATATATAGAACTGGTTGGTTAGTAAATGCAATTGTTTAAGAATGAAACTTTTTTTTGGTTATGTCCGAATATTGCATTTGACATTCTGTTCAATAGAAAACGCGGATTATTTGAATGTGGATTGTTTTGATGAGTATGACGAGCAAGATGCGAACCCTGTAAAATACCAAAGGATATTCAACGATTGTCCCGAGTGTCAGGGAATACAAAAACACTATCAATGGTGTCAACCTTGTGCTGCGAGACACTTTAAAGAGAATTTTGACAAGTGGTCAAGCGGGAATGAAGAGATCGATAACATAATTAAGTAAGTACTCGCAATTAAGATCGACCGGTCCTTACACCTTCTTTGAATGGATTCCGTATACTCAATTTCAAAAGGTCAAGCGTTTGTCCATTGGTGAATGGGGAAAAATTGAGATGGCCACATGGATCGATGGCCCAATTCAGAAATGGAACGATAAAGATTGGGAGAGAACGAGGAATATGACGGTAGTGTTAAAACATTACATCAATAAGAATCCCGCCTATAGGTCGTGGTATGACTTCGCAAAACAGGTACGCGCAGTAACAGTCATCTAACGTGTCGTAATTCAAATAATAATCGCCTGGAGCCTTTATTCTTGATTATCTTTTTATTTTTTTTGTCAGATGAAGACATATCTCATGTGTAAAAATCCATATATCTTACCGATATTTGGAATTTCGCAAGATCCTGATATCAAGGAATACATGCTTGTTACTAAATTTGCAAAGTACGGTAATCTTGGTGATTACATGCAACAAAAAAAAGAAATAAAAGATTCAAATAAGGAAGCTGATCAGATGGATTGGAACAGAAAGTTAGACATTCTATGTGATATCTCTCACGCCTTGAAATATATTCACGAAGCAAATTTTGTTTATTGTAATCTGTCACCTAAAGAAATATTAATTGATGAGAACAAAGCTTTGATCGGAGGCCTGAGCGGATGCAGATCAATCCAGGAGTTGGCCGAACGTAAATATGTTGTGGACGAAAAAGAGAGAGAGGAAATCATGTTCAACCTTCGTTACGCTGCACCGGAAATTTTGCAGGATAATAAATTTTGCAAAGATTCAAATGTATACAGTTTCGGTACAATAATGTGGGAAATGTCGACGGAAAAAGTACCCTTTGAATATTATAACAAGATGTTGATTAGTCTAAATATCAGTCAAAACAATAAAAACATATTGTTGTCTCCTGTCGAGGGAACTCCCGAATGTTATGTGGATTTGATGAAGAGATGTTGGTGTTATGATCCCAAATTTCGACCAGAGATATCTGAAGTAAACGACATCATATGCAAATGGTGGCGCATAGGTGCGTATATGCGTAAGATCTTATACAATTCCGTATTGTGTATTCATATACCGTGGTGGTGTTATGAAAATTAACATCGAGTTGGTCTCGTGCCGTTATTTTCGGGGTTTCCTTTATCGCCCGTTGTTTTTCTTTCAGTCAATCGCAAGCATATTTCCGATGTGTATTATCAGTTTAAAGATTCTGAAATGCATAAAGTTAAAAGAACCCTTGACGATAATTTTATTAGGGTAAGGTCGATACATTTAATTCACTTGACTAAGTTCGCCGAATGGTTTAAACTCTATTGTTCGATCAGGATAAGATCGTTGATCAAGAAGTTCAAGATAATTATCAAGGAAAAAAGGTAATGGGTGTTAGAGTTGGTATATGTTCTTTCGTTCTTATTTTGCTATTGTAGGTTATTCGGAATAACACCCGAATCTTCATAGGATAAAATGCCTAGACGTCAACCCACGATCACTGGTGATGAAGATGCCAGTGAGTGGCTTACGAACGCGGTTGAAAAAGGTCATGTGAAATTTATTTCCTATGAGCACCTGAAAGTAGACAATAATCTTCCTATTGAATCGGGATACTTTGGAAGCATCACCAAAGCTGTTTGGAAAGGTGAACATGTGGTCTTAAAGAGACTGCGCAACATCGCGGAAATTAGAGGCAATACTCTCAAGGCATTTACGCATGAACTCAAAATTCACATGCGAATGGAATACCGAGACAGAATTGTGCGTTGTCTTGGCATCAGTCAAGGTAGTATCTTTTAGTATCGTTCGTCGCCTATCAACTAATTTCAAGGAACGCCAATTATGTCTATAGATCCTGAAACTTTGGAGCATTTGCTTGTAATGAAGTATGCAAATAATGGAGATCTACGTAAATACCTGAAAGAGAATAAGAACCTATCATGGGAAAAAAGATATCATTTGGCCCTGCAAATCGCCGAAGGACTCAAATGCTTGCATGAAGAAGATATAATACACAAGGACTTGGTAAGTCGAGTAAGTTGCTTTTTAATTGCTGCACCAAAGTGATATTGAATAAATAATTGACCGCGATAATCTATCTAATAATTTAGCATTCAAAAAATATAGTTATCCACGACGGCAATGCGAAGATCACCGATTTTGGTGTTTCAAAATTTGCGACTAACGACTCCTATATTCACAAAGGAAATCATGGAATGATTGCCTATTATGAACCCAAAAAATTGGCTGATCTTGAACACGAATACACGAAATCTTCTGACATCTATAGTTTAGGTGTCTTGATGTGGGAGGTTTCCAGCGGTATCCCTCCATTCCATAAATATCAAGACGAAATTATGGCGCTTAAGATGGCTATTTGTTATGACAAAAAAAGAGAAGACCCAGTTGCTGAAACTCCTTTGGACTACATGAATCTTTACCAATGGTGCTGGAATGATGAGCCTAGTGGTCGACCAACGATCCAAGAAGCTTTGGATGCCTTTAAAAATATGAATCTCGAAATCAAAATTGATTGTATGTTTTATCTAATGTGCTGATGTGCAATCGTTTTTCAAGATCTTTTTTTTTTTAAGGATAAATGTTTTTCAGCATCCAAGGTGCCCAAAAGAAGTGTTGACATTGATGAAATTAAGTTCGAGTCCAAAAATATTTCAGATGCCATCAAATTTGACAGTGATTATTGCAATGGTAGGAACAATGCGTTATGATGAGTTCTCAAACTGTTGCAATACACGCATCGAGTAACAAGCTTTCCTTCAAAAGTAATGTCGCAGCTCCATCTCAAAGTAACGTGAATGTATGCAGGAAGATATCATCGAGAACAGCGGATAAAGCAAGTAATTCCGGTGTTATGTTAAAATATTTTCGCCGATCTACGATGTAGATATTGAATTCATATAAATAAAATAAAAATTTTCAACCGCTAATATTATCGGGCATGCGAAGTCGAAACAAAAAAAAATTTTAAAGAATTTCGTTTTTTAAAACTTTTCCACGCAAAACAACTTTACACAGTAGATGTCCCTTGTCATTAATCACCGTCTCTTTATTCTAGAAATCGATGTGTTGTTTTAGTTTATGCTTGCTGGAGAGATTTAACTGACCAGAGATTTCGGAAGAACTTGCTAGAATTGATATTTTTTTATCACGACCATAATCAATTTAACATCACTTACATTAATTCACTTTCCTCGTGGGGCAAAGCTTTCAAGTAGAAATAGACGAATTCCTAAAGTTAAAGGATTAAATGATGGTTTAAAAATTAATACTGTATATACAATAATTATCCAAATGATTAAATGACGGTTTAGAAATTAATATATACATTAATTATCCAAGGTTGATTATTCTTTTAGATTATTTATGTCGTAAACTTATCCAATTACGATACGCTCTCGTGAATTTTAGAATTAACCTTTCTAAAAGATGGACGATAAGGATGCGCATTAGTTGATGAGAACGAACCATTTTATCACCGCCAGGGATGTTTTTTCTTCTTACTTTTTTGACTTGACCCTCTTTTCCCACTTCTATGTTCAAAGCTTAAATTGTTATGAGTATGAGCTCTTTTTTTTTTTTTCCTTTATATAAAAAAAATATATATATATATATTTCTGTAGAAATAAAATGCTACCTAGGTCAGAATTTCCTAAAGTTTATCCTTTCGACCCATGTTAAGTCATCAATATGTTGAAGCACCTCCGTATCAGTGAGGCTGCCAGAAAGGACATTTAGGTCTGTTGCATAACCTCCAAAGTATCAACTCAAATGAGGGACCACGAGCTTTATCCGCAGTAGACATGAGTGGTAATGGATAAAAATATACTGTAAAAATCTAATCTAAATAGTGAAATCCCAGGAAGTCATCAATTTAACTATTTCCTAAAATAGAAAGATTACAAGTGTTAGTGTATAACTTCTCACAGGTCATTTTCACACACAATTATTACGCAACTTACGCGAAAAAAAGAGTCGCGTATAGCGTGTTTATTTTTAGGCATCATAGTACGCAATCAAGTGCAAAAAAATTATAAAAGGATGCATAAATCCGACCCTCTTTTTTTTTTGAAAAAAAATCATCTAATGGTGTCGTTTTCTCTATATATCTTACTTTCTTTCTTGTATGCTCTATTACCACCCCTTTATCATCACCACATCACCCCACGCATGCTCTTTGCAACACCACTATTACTACAACTACACTGCGCATTTTATTATTACTATAATCACAATCACATTACACACAACTATCAATCACAACTCTGCCACGTACTCTACGTACTCACTCTACCATCACGTATTCTACCACCACGTATTCTACTCTACCACATACTCGACCATGTATTCATGACTCTATTCGAAATTGCACCATCGCCATCGAGAGCACCATGTACTCGACTCTACCATTCTCTCTATCATTACAACATCGAAACCATGCTCTCTACAACAATACCAAACACCACCCTCTCCTGCTTATATGCTTTCTACCATTACTATGCATGCTTGCATACTTTATCACTACAACACCATGGTCTTTACGCTCTCTACCATTATCATGCCTGATCGCTTTCTCTATAATCACCATGAACACTCTATTATCATACATACTTGCATACTCTTTATCACATCATGCATACACTACGTATGCTTTCTGTCATCACGAGAAAATTTATTTATTGTGTCTTACTATATATTTTTAATATTTGTTAGTTATAAACTATTTAATACAAATGTTGGAAGGGGTGAGATGGGGACGGGTAGGGTAGGGGACGGGTAGGGTAAGGGTTAGGGTTGGGCAAGGGTAACATGATATACTGTAGGTGAGTGGTAGGGAAGTTGTCTTTTCTATTAATAGAAAGGATTTGTCAATATCACTAATACCTTAAATCATTCGTGTGCCCGGTGGGTGAGGGTGATAAGGATAGTGATCCTTACTTTCGAACTTTCGAATTTTTGATTGGTCGATAGGATATCATCAAACTTTTGAATTTTCGATTGGTCGAAAGGAAATCACCGAAGATTCCCAATCATGTTATGTGCCTAGAATATGTATATAGATGCTATTAGTATAAATGATTTATTTTATTTTTTTTTAATCGTTACCCTTAACTAGTGATAATAGTATATGCGTATATGATTGAACAAATATGTGTTTTATTTATTACTCAAAATTGTCGAAGATACACCGCCCATCGTTTATTATCAGATTCAGTCTTAGGTAATTTACATGTTACAATGTCGTTATCCTCCTAGTCCAGCTCGAGTAACTTGAAAACGCAACAAATATTAAAGAGTCGCACACACAAAACTTGAGACGCGATAAGTTTATAAAATCACCCTGGTTTTCTTTCACCCTTTACTAATAATGTCACCTATCTTTTATCACCCGCTCCGATTAAAAGGCTCTCTATATCAGGTCGCTTTTACACGTCTCCCGGTTCGTGACGTCGATCACTTGTCAAGGGCACGATCGCATTTTTCCTCTTCTGATGCCACTTAGTATAATGATACAAAGATCTCAGTACTTCCGAAGGTCAAAGGATGGTCAAATTGATCACATCATAGTCAGGACAAAAGGAATTCAAAAATGAAGACAACCCGATAAAAAAATCGGTTTTTTTATTGAGTTTTCAAAAAAAATAGAGTGGAATAATAAAATAAATATATACTGAGGTGTGAATAAACGAATGTACAATGAGTGGGGTAAAGGATAAAATTGGACACACGTCCTTCGATTGTTCCATTTAATCCAATGTTCATTTGTCAGTAAATTAAACATACAATCTATAAATCCTGTCGATTTTTTCTTTGTAAGCCGTAGATCAATTACTCAAGTTCATCTCTCTCAGATGAGCCAACAATTTCTTCTTATGAATAAGTCCAACGTATTGTCCACAATTTACAACACAAACATATCTCAATCCCAACTTCTTGAACAATTCCAGTACAACTTCCAATGAGGCGTGTTGAGATACCGTTAACGGTGCCTTCGTACAATTATACAAACAGGTTGATTAATATACAATCTAATAAATAATCATAAGTAAGAAAGTGATGAAAAGTACCTGATCCATGTATAACGTGAAATCTATTTCATTATCGTCGCGTTCCTCACCTGCACGTGATATCGCGACTTCAATTTCTGTCTCCTTGAAACAACATCTCGTGCTATCAGGATACGAATCTGCATGCTTTAAAGCATGTTCGAGTTCCGTGGATGCGATATATCCAACTAATACCGGTCCATCTAATATTGGAAATCCCGCGTCCGAATACCCTGAACGTGCTATTATGATTATTTGTGTTAAACAAAACGAAAGTTCAATGGTGCCGAAAATTTCTTAAATTCCTTTCAGAAACAACACATTACACAGTCGATCCAATTTAGCTTTCAATTCCCCAATGGTGTTCGGCTCGTTTACTTCAATCACCTCCAAATTCCTTTGGCAAAGTTCAACAGTGCTTTTTGTTGTCACGTATTCGACTTTTGAATCCAGGTAAGGATGCTCATTGAGTTCTATTAAAAGATCATAAATTCCGTGTTTCACAATGCCGTCTGCCACCCACTTTGAAATCATGATGGCCGTCATTATTGGCTACAAATATAGGCAAATAAATATTATATTACGATGATGTATATTTGTTAATAAAACAGATCAACAAAGATGAAAATTCATTAAAAAAAAAACATCAAAATAAATTGTGACTTCAAATGGATCAATACGAACCAGAACGTATGTCAAAGCACCAGTAAGCTCAAACATGATGACCGTTAAGGAGACCGTCATCCGTGTCACTCCGGCTAAAGAGGCGGCCGCACCTACCATAGCATAAACACCTGGTATTATGCAATCATTGGTTTTGTGAGGATCACAAACCGCAGAAAACACCGGAAATTCGGGGTATGTTCTTATAAACAGAACAAGTTTATCATCTCAATCCTTTGTGAGAAATGCGAGTCATTTGTTGATTAATATTGAAACTTACAGGGTCATCCACTGAACGACAAGTCCGAGCATCCGACCAAAGCATGCACCAATTAGTAATGCGGGAATAAATATTCCGGCCGGTGTTCTTATGCCAAATGTTATGATGCAGGTCAAGAATTTCGAAATCAACGTGATGCCCAAAAGACTAAACACTGGTCCAACGGCTTCCGGGCTTGTCCTGAATGAATATCAATCGTCAGACGAAATTAGAATCGAGGTGACTCTCCCTAAATTAAGTGGTGCACTTACACACAAAGTCCTTCAAGATCTGAAGAATCATTTTTGCACTCTTTAAACAAGAAATGCACTAGATCCGTGTTGGACATTCTATTCGTTAAATAAAAAAAAAAAATGTATAGCTCAGTTTAAATTGATGCTTTTGAGGTAGCTCATAAGATCAGAAAATCCCACAAACTTGGTGTATTTATTTAAAAAGTTAACCGATGCCGTAATTATCACCACCAACATAACTTCGACCACCGGCCAATCTTTAAGCCAAGTTCTATTACGGATGTATTTACTGTACAAAACAATTAATTCGCATAACAGCGCGCCAGACAATCCCTAAAAAATAAAATTTACAGTTTAACCAAAGTGGGATGAAAGCGGTGAGTGCAACAAACAAACGCAAATAAATAATCCCACCGACCCCTAAAACACCGAGTATCAGGAATGACACAATTTCAAAGATGTGCCAATCGTAACCATACGTAACCTGAAACATGACGATTTTTCCCGTACCAAAAGGATTAATCAACTAAACAATGCAAAAAAAATAGTATATTGTTAAGAAAGCAAACGTCTTTATATTAAATTAATCGGTGCATTAAATGACAATCGAGATGATGATCTCGGATCAAAAAATAACAAACCTTTAAAGTGACCGCAGCCACGATAGCGCAAAAGAAACTTCTTACTAACGTTTTACTCGGAAAATAATAGCTAACTTCCTCTAGGGAAAAAAGCACACCACCAATTGGCGCGGCAAAAGCCACACTCACACCCGCCGCCGCAGAAGCTGACAGTATCTCCCTTCGTTTACCCTCGTTCTTGTTATACTTCTGAAACAGGCGTGTCATGATGTTACCCACACAACACGCGATATGAACAAACGGACCTTCCTTTCCAAGCGTCAATCCGGCTGATACCGCCATTGCCTTTGATGTTGTAGTCAATCCAATTAGTCCGCTATTTCTTTAGTCTCTTGAATTGCAGATATGAATGAATACAAACCAGAGTCAATGCTTTAACCCAGAGCGTTCTAATACCAAGGAATCCACGGATCACAAAACCACTTAGAATAGTTTTTACCTCGGGAATACCGCTTCCGGCCGCGTATGATCTGAGACGCTTCTTGGAAGATCCGTTCTTTACTTTTAATGAACTTTTTGAAGAGGGTGAGGCATACAAGGAATTATATTTCACCAGTATTGCGGCTCCTACAGCAAAACAAAACTAAATAAAGGATTTGTAAAGTTCGGTAAATAACATCTTTAAATTATGTATAAGATTTTTGAATTGTAATTTTTCTCGTACCGCAACAAATACATAAGCAAAATAATCAAACCACCATGATTTCTCCTCGCCTTCGAAATTAAATGCTTCTGACCATGTGGTCCAATTTGCACAATCTTCCTGCGATTCGGCTAAATTAATCATATATATTAGATGTTGCTTTCTCAAACTATTGAATCACATATTAATAAATAAATTTATATTACAAATTTCTCCCACCTTTGCAACAGAAGCTTTTTTTAAGACTGAAGTGTGTGTTACAATAGCCATCCTTTAGATCTGAACCCCATTCCGCCGCGACATCAACCGCCCCGGCAAAACACGCGGTTACGATTCCTAAATATAATTTTTTTAACTAGCATACAAGTATCTTCCCGATCCCCATTTTCATCACGTAACAAAAACCCACAAAACCACGTACCAATGAGGAACACTAAAATCCATCCTTGCAAACTATCGCACGAAGTTATCAAATACCCATAAAATCCTTTAATTGAGTAAAGTTTACGAGCACGGACGCGGTCCTTAACATAATCGTGAATCCAATCTACCAGAGATGCGAATTTGATAGAAGTGCGTCAATTTGTATGATAGATAAGGTATAAGAAAATATAAATCTTCGAATTTTCCTTACCAATGGTGGTATAGTCGTCATACCAAACCCGAATACCGCCACCTTCACGAATTAAAGCTTGTTTGTCTTCGTCATAAACACCACTTCTCTGTTTATAACGACGAATCGGTGCGGAGAGTGCATTTACTCGAAATTGCGTGGGATTCCAGGTGTGTCGCCTTAAATAGGAAGGCCGGTGACTATGATGAGAACTATATGATTCAGTTATGCAAAGATTGTGATAGATGATTGCGAAATAATTCTTACTTTGACTCCTCATCCTCAGGCCTACGAAGGAAACGACCATAATTATTTGATGGCTCACCGCTCAGAAGACCGGTGGTTTCTGTAGGCAATTTCACACTCTCTTCACTCCTATTTTTTTTAGCCGTCGTACTTCGGTTATTTCTTGAACCATTACGAGTATCTTCATTGTTGTCTACGGATATGATGTCTGCATACGAAATTTCATTATCTTTATGGTTTTTATCATTAGTTGGTGTAGTGCTTTCTCGTTGGTCTTCGTCACCCATTTGACGGCAAAGAGATGGAAAGAAGATAGTAGTTAGAAGAGGAGAAAGGAGAAAGGAAAGAAGAAGCCATCGTACACAATAAATCAAGGGGTATGTGGTATACTCTTTTTTTTGCCTATCAATTGTTAGTCACGTGAGGTGTGCGGTTGATCTTGCACATATTCCAAGACTAAATGGTAATTTATAAATAAAACAAACACGATATATTCAATTAAGTATTATCATTAATTTAATCAAATCAGTAAAATCGATTACGCTCTTGACTTTTCCGGAAAGCCATTGTGTAAACATAAATAAAAATATGAGTACATTACGTAATAGCAAATCTTGTTAATAATTCCGTTTTTATCCATCTTGTAAACGAACCTTCTAAATTACATTTGCACATGATCCCTCAATGTCTTGGGCGTAGTCAACAAGCGGTGCAGGGGAAAGAATACGAATAGCAGATTAGAGGATGCAGATTATCTAAAATGGGCGGGCGGGGTAGATGTATCGGCAATCCAATTTCTTAAAATTTATTAACTACAAAAGTTTTGCATCATAATTAAGAGCAAAACGGATTATTAAAGCGACAAATGGGTAATCATTCTTGAAAGTCGATCGAAATGCTAAATATGATTTTTTCGGCCCCCATTTTGATACGTATAAAATGCAAATTTTAGGATCACATTTATAGGGTCCGAAAAATCCCTGCCCGCCTTCATCCAAATTGGTATTCAAAACATGCATACTGTATTTTTTAAGGTTTCCGTTATTTGTTTATATTAAAAATTTTTAACTGGCTTGTATAAATATTTATCTTTATTTGATTTTAATTTCTTTAATATTAAACTTTTTATTTATAGAAATTTATTTAATTAACTTGTTCTAAATATAAAAAATCTTTAATCTTGAAAATAATTTGTTGTTTTATAATAGATTTTGGATTAATGTTCTTTTAATTTATATATTATATTTAAACAAGTTGTTTCAATTGCTTTGTTAAGTCACCAATTAGCAAAAAAATCCTAATAAAAAGAATATTCAAATATATATAAATATATAATAAAAAAATATGATAAAAATTTATTTATATCTTATGAATATATTTTATATAAATTAACAATTCAAGAATTTTTTGAGTTTTTATTTATTAATTAATTTATTATTAAGTTTATATATTATATTTTATAGACTATAATTTTTTTATTAATATACATAGAAATATTTATATACAGTTGCTTTCAAAAGATTGAATCTATTTACTGTTTTTATTATAAATTTTAATTTTATCAATTTTTAAATTCTTAATTTCATAATCAAAATTTTTAAAATTTATATATAATATATTTTAATACTAGTTTAATTTTTTATAGTTTTTTTCAAAAATTTTTAATATATAATTTTTTAAAATTTTTTATTGTTAAAAAATTTATCTTTAAATGATTTTTTTTTTTTTAGTATTTATAGCCAAACTAGATTGTTAATTTATTAATCAACTAAAAACATAAGTATATTTTCATTTGAGCAGTATAATATATACTACTGCTAAACTATTATTCTAATCTAACTAATTCATTTTAAGCATAAAAGTCTTTAAGTTCAACCTTAGGTATAATATTTCATTCTACAATATCTTTGGATAAAAATCTCCCTAGTCCATTGCATTATTACCAGCAAGTTATTACTACTATATATTAAATCAAACTACTAGAATATAAAAAACTACAAAGAATAAGTTGAAAAAAAGGAAAAAGGAGATATTTAAAAATGTCAAAATAGATAATAAGAAAATAAAAAAGTAAAAATAAAAAAAAAGATTTTTAACTTTCTTCAAAAACCTACTTTTCAAGATCTCTTCTCAATAAGAAATATTTAATTGGAATATTCTTTCTTTTTTTGATCATCTAAGGAACTTATCTATTTTTAATTTTAATTTTCTTCTCATATATCATCTGAGAAAACTTATTCTCTAATGAAAGTCCTTACTTCTAGAATACAATTGGTTTCAATATTCTTTGAGCAATAATTTTTTATCTATCTACAGTAGAAAAGTAACATATGATGAACTTCAAATTTTTATATAATCTAGTAGAAACTGGACCATATTGTTTCAATATAATATCTTTTAGCAGTTAAGCTTAATTAAAGGAATTTTACTGATATACATCTTCCATTACCCCAAAAATCAGATTCTTCAACAATCCTTTTGTCTTGCAATGGCAGAAGGGTTTTAAAAAGTGATGGAGATCCTTATCGATCACAATATTTTTTAACAATTTCTAGAAAAATATATTCTCAATTATTAAAAAGTTGAAGCTTAGCATGGACTAGAGACCGTTCAGTCTTATTGCCTGACTGGGATAAAAAGGAGATCTTAATCTTGAACTTTGCTTGACCAGGATAATAGAAGAGAAAGATCTCAACTTGAATAAATAGCAGCTTTTTCATTATTTGAAAACTTATTGCTCATATCTTATTAACCTTATAGAATTTGATTTATAGATTAATCCAATTGGAGAAGTGGAATAGACACAAGGTATCAATCAACTCTTTTAATTACCAATGACATCATTGAAACATATAAAGTGATCAGTAAAGATTTGTTTATATTCAATTACTAATATGTTTTATGTTAACCAATTAGATGCCAGATGATATTATTTTATTAAAAATTTAAGATAAAACTGGGGTAGGTAAAATTCTTCAAGAAAATCATGAAAAATAGTAAACACTTTAAGAGGATATAAGACAGTATATGGGAAGGTGAATAATAAGCCTTTTCTTGTCAATAAAACATTTATTTCTTGTTGCTTCTAGCTTTATAAGGTAATACTTCACTTGTCAGTCTTTTTATTTTCTAGAATCTTCTTATCCTTAGTATAGAAAGTATATACTTGAGTCTTTTCAAGTTCCTAGAGATCCAATTTTTTATTAAAGAAGTTTATAAACAGGTAAGAAGAAATAAATGAAAACAAGTTTTAAGTTGTTTTAATGAAAGTATAAAAGCTTTATTAGTAAGAAAATATAAAATTTCTTGTGAATATCTTTTTTTTGTATATTTAGAGGATTAGTGAAAAAAGTTTTTTTAAAATTTATCTTTAAATAATTTTGATTAATTGTTTCTATAGAATATATAATATTAATAAAAAAAAAATAAAATTTTTAATAATTTTATGTAACTCTTTTTCTGATTTTTTAACCATATATAAAAAAAGATGTTCACAAGAAGTTTTC